AGCAAAAATATCCATTCCAGAATATTATCTTATCTCTGCACAAGAATTTGAGTAGAAGAATGGGTGGAAAGTAGAATAACTAGGATACAATTAAGTTCTGGATTCAAGTAATCCACATGTACATCCTGTAATTTTTTTCTGTACCAGAGCCAATTCTCTTTCAACTTCAGCTGATTATTTCCTTGGACTTAATAGTCCTTCTTATAAGGTTTGAAATAATTACTTAGTTCTTAAGTTGTTAACCCAATTGTGGGCCAAAGCCAGATATTGTCTCCTAGTAATTTTTGAAAGTCATTAAGAGTTCACAATTGATCTCTCCTAATAGGAACTTCTTGTGCATTAACTTTTTGCAAACCTACTTTATATCCTAGGTAATTAATGGAATCTTCTCTGTATTTTTTCTGGAGCAATTTATAATCCCCAATAAAGCAATATTTCATTTCCTTAAACATTTCTTCTAAGGTATCTATGTTTGAATCAGCTAGTAAGATATTGTACATATAAACCATGGATTGAGGAAACTGTTTATAAATTATTTCCAACAGCTGTTATATAAAACTGGCACATGTTGGGGCCGATTTAACATCTCTCGTGGGAGAGCTTTCCACTGCTACCTTTTAACAGTTTGTGAATTATTATAAGTAGACACCATGAAGTCAAATTTTTCTTGTAAAGAAAATAAAAATTATCTATATATTCTTATATTTTTTTAAAGGTATAGTAAAGTCTTTTAAATCACTATAATGGACCATCCTTTAGGTAACAGAGAAGACAGGGCAATTTCAGGTTATAGACTCCATCAGTTGAATTACTTTATTTATGGCTCACAAATGTGTCAGCATTCTCCACTTTAAAGAATTTTTGTTTTTAATGATAAATAGAATAGATTTATATTTTAATGATAAATAGGATAGAATTCCAAGGTCTGGCCGATTCTTCAAATTGTTGAACATTTAGCTTCTCCTCTATGTTGCTCTAAGGCCTGTAATCTTTCTGATGTCAAACGTCACTGTTTCACCCAGACAGGTTTATCAGTTAGCCATTTTAAAGTTAGGGCTACCGACACCTTTGAGAGGTCACCAACTGTTTGGTTACACACACTCTAAAAACTGCTCTAGAGAAAAATTTCCAAAATTTCTCCCTGAAGCATTCTTTATTTTATAGGTCGTTTGAGGTTAGAGGAATGTTGATCTATGTTTTCCACTGTTGTAATATACCATGTCTCCTTAAGTTCATTGCTATGTTGGCCACATATGGTTTTAATTCTCTGTTCTTCAGGCCCTATGCATCTGACCCATCTTAAGCTTTGTTTCACCTGAGATAAAAGTTCCAAGCTCTAGAAGCTGAACATTTACCTCTGAAGAGGCCAATTTGGATGTCAAGATTTTGGTGCAATTATACTTACTGTCTGTGCCTACCAGACCCTCCATTTTAATGCCATTTATCTGTATTGTTAATTTAGGTTTTTGGTTGTTTATAGAAGTTTGCCAAAATATTTGTTTTATGGTTTCTATTGGAAATTTTGTTTTATCTTCTAAAGCTGCTCTGTCCTCCAGAGCAGTATGGTTTTTGCTTTTTTATAATAGGCATTAGGTCCTTTGATTGTTCTGTGGAAAAGTTTCCCCCATGGTGATAGGGAATGATTGAACTAAATTTGATATGAGGTCTGCAAGGGGCCCTCTAAGGTGTTTCCTGAGGGCAAAGGATTACCTTGCCTGCACCTTGTTAATTTGCATTCATTGGTCCAATGGTGGCCTATGCGTACCTTCTGCATACTCCAGAAGACTGGGGTCATCTGTTTGGGCTATCTCTAGAAAAACACTGTTTCTAGGAACATCTGCCTACAATACCTTTGCAGATGACCTTGTTTATCACAATTAAAACACCTGACATTTTTTTTTCAAACCTTTGGAAATCACCTCTCCTACCCAAGTGTCATCATAGTTATAAGATTCAATATTGACTGTATGTCAGATCTATTCCTCTATGGGTGTTGATCTTACCTTTAAAGGCCCAATTACCTTTTTGTATTGTGAATTAGCATTCTCAAAAGTCAAAGATTCAATTAATATTTGTTTAACTTCTAGATATGCTATCATTCTATTTACAGATGAAGTCAGTCTCTGCAAAAATTCAGTGAAGGCTTCTTTTGAGCCTTATAAAATTTTAGTAAAGGCCCAGTACTCTTTTCTGATTCTTGAATCTTGTCCCAAGCATTCAAAGCTGCTGTATGTCATAGAGTCAAGGTGTGATCAAATATAATCTGTCTTTCCACATCAGTATAAAGGCACTCACCAATGATTCAATCTTAGGAAATCTTATAACATCTAACTCTACCTTGATGTTAAATGGCCCTATCTTCATCTTTCCACCACACCTGGTCTACTGTAACTGAGGTCCAGATTCCAACACTGCTGTAACTAAATCTTTCCAGTCTTGTGGAATAATTAGTCAAAATGGTATTTTCTTCAGTAATTATTTCCAGGGCTTGCATATTATCAGTAGTAACCTTTTCTAAGGCTTGCATATTTTGAGTAGTAAGTATTTTTAAGGTTTACATTTTATCAATCATCTTTCTACATTTTACATCAGTAAATATTTCTAAATCAATTTTAAATCAGTAAATATTTCTAAAGCTTTTATCAGTCAAAATTGTATTATTCTCCTTAGCTAATTATTTGTAAAGCTTGCATATTATCAGTAGGAGGACTGGGTTGTACAGATGTAGTGATGGTGTTTGACCAGCAGGCAGAGCCAATGGTTGGAGGACTGGACTGTGTGAATGTATTCAGAAACAGTAATGATATCTGACCAAAAGATGGAGCTGGTGCAGCACCAAGGCAGCAGTGGGAGATCCAGGAATAAGGAAGGTGCACTGAGACTCAGCACTCTATAAGCTGACTGCCCTCAGGCCAATGGCCACCTCTGGTGACAGCCTTGGGGAGGTTTGGCCAAGGTCAGAAAGAACTGGCCTGAGAGCCCCAGCTTTGTTACACATGCCTTGATTTTCTGCTTTGACTTTCCTGTCTGCTGCCAGTGATTTGGTAACAGCAGCTGCTAAGTTCCAAGTCCTGAGCAAGTCTCGAGGTGGGCAAAACTCAAGACAAGCTGAGCTGCCTTGATTGGCAGTCTACAGAGGGGTTCAGAGAACACCCCAACAGAGGCAAAAGGGGCTAGCCAAAGGGTATTCATCCTCCACCAGACCTCAGACCTCAGAGCAGTTTGGGGGCTGGATGCACTTGGACCAGAGAGTGGTCAATGTGCCGAGATGCATTTTGTGTATTTAGCAATGCCAATCGTTGAATGTCAGGTGTTACTGACTTCTTTTATGTTTATTTATTATAAAACTAAAGAACAAAATATAAGAAAAAACTGAGGTGGACCGCAAGCTACTGCAGAAAAACCCCACCGCAGCTGTTTCCTGGCTCAACAACAAGGCCATACTTTCTGCTCTGCCTCTCCTCTAGGTCACCTCTATCCCAAATGAAAACCCTGCCTCTTGGACCAAAAGGCTCCTCTCAACTGGCTAGGGTACTGGTTACAGAATTTCTTTAACAGTAAGTATTCCAATTCTAGAGAATCCTATGCCCTCTTCTGGCCTCTATGGGCACCAGGCACACAAGTGGCGTAATAAATACATATAGGCAAAACACCCACACACATAAATAATATTTAAAAATTAAGTTAAAACTCTTTCAAGAACTTAAAGATTACTTGTTGACAATAGACAAGGTAAGTCAACCACTACAGTAACATGTCTCCATGCTCTATGCCACAACATTCATTAAATTCAGAGACTGCTTATCAGTTCACAACTCTAGACCCTTTCTGCACTAGCACCAATTCACCAGTATTACCAATCCCAGCCAAGTCCATTACGTTTAAATGCACTCTCACTGTTGGTTCTACTAGAGTGGACTAAAATTAATAGTATGATGATTATTTGAGATAAGTAATATTGATAGGTTAGCCAAAACCTATCAGTCATAAAGCAAAGATTAAAGGTATCTACTTTTGTTTCCAGATATCCTGGAAATTGAGTTTCTTCCATGTTGTTGCCTTCTTTTTAAAAATTCTACTATTGCTATTATTTTTACTCATCATCATCATTATTATATATGTATCAGTGTTTGGGCTATATGTACATCTGTGTGCCACATGCATTCCTGACTCCCTGTAGGGGCCAGAAGAGGGATGCCCTGGAACTATAGTTACAGACAGTTGTGATGATGTGGGAATTGAAGCTGGGGCCTCTGGAAGGGCAGTCAGTGCTCCTAACCTCTGGGTCATCGTTCCAGCTGCCTCTACTAAGTTTTTTTTATAACTAACTTGTACTAGAAAAAATGTACACTCATTCTAAGATTTGAGATCATAGCATGTGGCAAGAATTTATAATAACTTTTGTTCCATAATTTTTAAAAAGAAAACTTAGTGCTAGAAACTAGACTCTCAATGCCAAGTCCCATCATAATATTTCAGAACATTATTTAGAGAAGGAGACTGGCACATAACTATCAATCAATGCACATAAGACTTCTTATTTTTGGGTAATAGTAAGAAAAAAATTCTAAACTTTGTGGTAATGTATAATCCACATACATTAACATATTAAAAAGAAATGAATCATTTCCTTCAAATGAATAATCTGTATGTAAATTATCCCAAAAGCAGTACCTGTATTTTGCCTCATTCTAATAGCTACAATATATTCTATAAAATGTTTAAGATATTAAATATAACCAACAAAGAGAAATCTGAACGTTCTAAGTAATAAGTCAATAGTAGAATGATTAAAAACAAGTCACTCATAAGCCAGAGATGACTGACAGTTAAAGGGCCCTTACTTGTTGGATAACAATCACTAAACAAGCAGAAACAAAGAATGAATATGACCTCTAAGTGATTTCTTCAGAAAGACTATTCAAAATAATCTTGAAATGCAAAGTTTTGCTTCTATACACAAAAACATGAATGAAGTCCTCAATAATATGAGCACTTACTCATCATACTCGATATGATAAATAACGTCTTCATCAGCAGCAACAGAGTCTGAATTAGACGTAGAGGGTACATTGTCCAATTTATTTGTGTTCTCTTTGGAATTATGATTTACATTTCCATTAGTCCTTTTATAAGAATTGCCATTCTTCAGTGGAGTTTTGCCACGTGAATGTCCGTCAGAAGCTCTAGTAACACTACGTATATGTGCTTCAAACCAAGCACCAAGGCCGGCATCTCTGGCATCCACCAATTCATTTACCTAAAAAAAGTTTAAAATTAGTTAATGAAGCTTAATTTCATCTATTGCTTCAAAAACTTTAATAAAACTCAAGTTATTTGAGAGTGATTATGGAAAACAATATTTGTTGCTACTCATGTTTGAAATGATTACAGATTAGATCATACCTATTCTTTTAGATTTTATCGTACTGTCTTAATCTTGGTATTTACTAATATAAAAAGTTGAATTTTTCCCAATTTCCTTTGATGAAGATATTTTAATTCTTTTATACCCATGTCTATAACACTCTATTTTGAAAACAATGATTATGTATGCAGAAGTCATGTATGAACACTGTCATTACAGAATCAGCACTTTTAGCTATAAAGACATAAATTTGTTCTATTGATTTCTTATAACCCTAAAAATAACTTACACAATCAGTCCAAAAAGAAGTGAAAATAAAACTTGAGAATGAGAGAATTACTCAAAGAATGGAAATATACACTGCTAAACTAATGTATATAAACTGGGAAAAGTTCTGTAATGGATTAGTAACTCACTAGGCAATTATGTCCAGTTATTACTTCAAAGAACAAAGATAAAACGTAAGGAGAAAGGTAGAAGACACAAGATATCCAGTAATGATTCAGACCTAACCAACAACTTTTTTTTACAAATTTTTTTTTGAAGATTTGTTTATAATGTATACAACATTCTGCCTCCATGTATGCCCACACGCCAGAGGAGGGCGCCAGATCTCATTACAGATGGTTGTGAGCCACCATGTGGTTGCTGGGAATTGAACTCAGGACCTTTGGAAGAGCAGCCAGTGCTCTTAACCACTGAGCCATCTCTCCAGCACCAACAACTTTTATAAACAGAAAACAGGGATTAAAACATATGTATAACAGAATTAAGAAACAGGCAGGTTAAAAAAATTCTATATCCTTCCGATAAAAGTTTAAATTTGACTTTATCATGGAATATCTTGTTTTCTCCTTCTATGGTAGTAACTATTTTGCTGGCTATAGTTGTCTTTAGAGTCTTCAGGACATCTATCAGGCCCTTGTGGTTTTCACAGTCTCCACTGAGATGTCAGGTGTTGCAGAGACCTATACCCAAATATCAGGCAGAGAGGGAGAGAGTCCAAATTGGAGATCTCCATCAGGTCTCTCCCCTCAAAACTCAAGGAATCCCGTGGAAGAGGACAAGAAAGAATTGTAGGAGCTAGAAGGGTCAAGGACAGCAGAAGATAGCCCACAGACATCAACTAAGTAGGCTTTATAAGGGCTCAGAAACTGAAGCAACAATCACAGAGATTATATGGGCCTGTGGATAAGTCCTCTGCGTATTTGTTATGGTTGTTAGCATGGTGTTTTTGTGAGACTCCTAAGAGTGGGAATGGGGGTATCTCTGAGTCTTCTGTTCTTGGGGACCCCTTACCTCCTACCAGGTTGCCTTGCCCAGCCTTGACATGACGGCTTATGCTTAGTCTTAATGTATCTTGTTATGCCATGTTTGGTGGATATCCCTAGGAGGTCTGATCTTTTCTGAAGGGAAATGAAGTAATGAATCTGGAGGGGAGGGGAGGGGAGGGGAGGGGAGGGGAGAAGCGAGGTTGGAGAGAAACTGAGAGGAGTGGAAAGGATATTCTAAAAATGTGAGGACATTGGTAAGAGGCAAAGCTTTTGTTTGTTTCAGGTAAAAAACAAACAAAAAAAAAAAAACCAAATCTTTTAAACCTTTCTTTTTGAAAGTCCTTACAAAGAAAATCTGAAATCGCCAACACATGTTCATCATCTCAATCTAGCTTTCCCTTGAAGGCAAAAGAGACCACTTAACATAATTCTAACAGATGGTGTTGGCTAGTTTCTAATGTCAGCTTGACACAATCACCTGGAAAGAGAGAAACTTAATGAAAGAATTGCTTCAATCAGAATGGCCAATGGGAATGTCTGTAAAAGACTATCTTGATTGATAAGTGATAGGTGGGCCCAGCCCACTGTGGGAGGCACTATCCCTAGGTTGGTGGGTCTGGGATATATAAGAAAGCTAAAAGAAAAATCTGCAGACCTAGAGCAGTTACAAGGGTTTGGGGAAGAACAACACAAAATTTCCCTAGAAAGGGGAAATTTGATAAATATTTTGGGTGGACTGGGGGCAGGAACAGGAGGGATCAGGTTGGCGAAGATAGAGGGAAAAAATACTGGAAGAGATGACTCAAGTTGGAGGGCATTTTGGGGTAAGGTGGAAACCTAGTGCAATGGAAATTCCCAGAAATCTATGAGGATGACCTAAAACTCCTACTAATGGGAGATAAGGAGCCTGAACCAGTCATCTTCTGTAACCAGGCAAGGCTTCCAATGGACGGACTGGGACACCAACCCAGCCACAAAATCTCCAATCTACAATTTGTCCAGCATGGAAGATATTCTGGGGTAAGAAGGGTGGTATACAGATTGTGAGTGCCCAACCAATCAATGACTGGCCAAGCTTGAGACCCATGTCATGAAAGGGAGCCCAGCCCTGATACTGACTGTATAGTCAGGAACCAGAGACTAGATAGTCAGTGTCCTAGGATAGAACCAAATATGACTGGCATAAACAAACAATAAAATTATTCCTAATTATATTCTGCTATATTCATAGATCAGTGATTAGTTCAATCGTCATTAGAGGTTTCATCTAGCAACTAATGAGAACAGATCCAGAGACCCAGAGCCAAACACAAGGTGGAGCTCAGGGAATCCTGGGAAAGAGGTGGAGGAAGGATTGTAGGAGTCAGATGAGTCAAGGATACAAGAAAACCTAAAGAATCAACTAACCTGGGCTTATGGGGCTCACAGAGAAATGACAATCAGGAAGTCTGCATAGGCTAGACCTAGGCCCTCTGATTGTGTAGCCTGGTCTTCTTGTGGTATTCCTAATAGGGGGAGCAGGGCTGTCTGCCTCTTTTGCCTGCTTTCTGAGACCCTTTTCTTCATACTGGTTTGCCTTGTCCAGCTTTAATATGAGGGAGAGGTGCCTACTCTTACTGCAACTTGATATGTTATGTTTGGTTGATATCCCTGAGAGGCCTGCCCTTCTCTGAAGGGAAAGGAGGAGGAACAGGTCTGGGAGAGAGAGAAGGTGGGGGATAAAGTGGGACTGGGAGAGAGGGAGGGGAAACTGCAGTTGGGATGTACCATATGAGAGAAAAATAAATTAAAATAAAAAAGGTAACAAAGGGAAAGCTAGAGATGAGTCTAAGCAGCCTTTCCACACAGTTTCTGCTTAAGTTTCTGTTTAAGTTCTTGCCCCAACTTTCCTCAAAAACAGACTGTGGCCTGGAAGTGTGAGTCAAATCAGCTCTGTTCTCTCCAAGTTGCTTTAATCAGTGTTTTATCACAGCAACAGAAAGCAAACAAAAATACATATGGTATTGCTTGGAAATAAAGTGTGTTATAAAATGACTTATACTCACATGTGCCAGATAATATACAATGTTCTTTACTTAGGTTTGCCTAATCATAATAAAGCTATCAATTACTGCTTTATGAAAAAACTTTTATGAAAAAGGCATCATTAGCTTGTTGTAAGCAAAAGCTAACAAGATGTAAATCCAGGTATTAAAGAACCTTGATCCTGAAAATAAGTGTAGGTTTCACCATTATACTAAGTAAAGCTTGTTAAATCTGACAAAAATAGGTAATTATTATAAACTTCAAAGGTAAGTGATAAGCTCAGAAATACACACACACACACACACACACACACACACACACCTTTCAAATCACCAAGCTTACATAAAAAGGAGAAGTATAAGCCAAAACCAGTAACTTTCATTTTGGTACAACACTGAACCAAAGGCAGCATGCAAAGTGAATACCGCAGCAATGAAATAGCTTAAAAGAGAGGGTTTAATACAATATAAGAATAAAGACTAAAGAGGGAAAACAGAGGGAAGGAAGTAGGTAGGGAAGAAGGGAGGGAGGGAGGAAGAAGGGAGAGTAGAGAGGGGGAGGGAAGGAGACAACTATTACTACTAATAATAATTATAACTACAACTATTACTACTGCTGCTGCTGCTGTTACTACCAACCATCAAGTAGGTTAGGTATAACAAAGAATCAGATGGAACATGCTATTTACTACATATATGTTAAATGAATAGACTTAATTCTTCCACAGTAGTAACTAATAAATTTAAAGACACTCTCTTGTAAGCAACAGCTAAAACAAACAAAAAAAAACCAATGCTAATGTTTCTAAGAATAAATGAATTACAATTCACTCACAGTAAGCCAAATCATAGTGATGTTTAACATTCCAACTGTATCATTGTAACAGGGAATAAGGTATATGGTTGACAGTAAAACAACGGCAGTAAACAAACCTTTTGTCTCAAGTGTGGGGTGGGCAGGGTGGGGTGATGTAATCTGTAATCCTAGCACTTGGGAATCTTAGGCTAGAGGATCACAAGTTCAAAGCCATCCTAGGCTATATAGAAAGAGCTGTCTCAAAAACAAAACAAAGCAACCCCCCATGAATAAACTCCACTATGGATCAGTGAGCAGTCAAAATGAAATGCTATAATCTGTCTAGCAATATTTAAAAAGCCAGCAGGTAGAGCTAATAATTAGATAACACAAAATAAAATGTATTAGTTCATAAAGATAGTTATTTGAGTACAGTAAATCTACACTTACAGCTGGAAACTAAAGTTTTATTTTCCTATTCACCAAAGCAAGCCATTTACAATAATGCATATTAAAATGTAACTGGTAGTGCTTTTAAATTCTAAATATATTGCAAAATGCATAGATATGCGAATGACAATTTTAAATAGGCAAAATTGCATGTAGAAGATAAAACTTACAGAGTATGGGTTTTGAGGACAGTTCAGAATAAAAATTATTAAAACATAAAATATAAAAACAAGATACTGTCATGGTACCCTTCTATATAACTTAGAAGGAGTTAAGAACAAGAATAATTTAGAAGAGAGTAGCAAAACAGACATCTAGTAGTATGTTCATGTAACCCCAGCCCAAGCA